AGTGAGACATACTGACAAATTCTCTCTCTCTCGCACAAAACACACAAAAACACACACACACACAAACACCACACACAAACACAACACACAAACAACAAACAACACACACACACAACACACACACACACACAACACACACACACACACACACACAAACACCACACAAACACACACAAAACACACACAAACCACACACAAACACACACAACAACACAACACACACACACACACACACAACACAACACACACAAACACACACACACACACACACAAACCCCCACACCCCACAAACACACACAAACACACACAAACACACACAAACACACACACAAACACAACAAAACACACACACAAACACACACAAACACACACACACAACACACACACACAAACACACACACACACAAACACACACACACAAACACACACACACAAACACACACACACACAACACACACACACACAAACACACACACACACGACAGGAACCATACATAGTTTTAAGACGAGGTTTGATAAAGCTCATGGAGCAGGGAGAGGACCCAGTAGCAACAAGTGAAGAGGCAGGGCCAAGAGCTAAGACTCGACCCCTGCAACCACAAATTGGCGAGTAAAAATAGGCAAGTACACACACACACACACAAAGAGCTGTTCACTGCAGTGAAGTATTTAAACCCTAGTAGTATATTCTATTAGGAATTTTAGTATTTCTAGTGTTGTACAAGATGGCCTCTTTGCAAACTCTTATCTCTCAAAATGAAATTAATTCAGATTATGCGAAATACAAAAGTGCATTCCTATAGTCAAATCTGTCTCAAGATGACATTCAAAATGTTTTGGTTACATTTAGTGATCAACAAGAAAGGTAGGCAGAAGCACACTGTACCTGCCACAAAATTCTTTCACAAAAACCCACTGTAGTTAGTGGTCAGACACCAGTCACACCTGCCACACCATTACCTAGTCTTCCTAATCTCTTATCACCTATATTTGAAGGTAATGAGTATGAGGAGTTTATTAGTGGATTTCAATTTCTGGTACATAAACTGATATTGATGAGATAGCCAAATGTCTTGTAAAGGGAGAATCCTTTGAACCGATTAAATCGTTTCTGGTGGTTAAAGATAATTATCAGCAAGCAAACAATTACCTTGATGTTGACAAAGCCAGGGTTAGACATACAGTCAAAATCTCAAGCTTGAAGCCACCAAGACATTGTTTTTTAGATTTGCAGACATTTAGAATCACACTAGGTAATAGTCTCTGATCTCTAGAGACTAAATATGACATAAATCAATGTGACTGGCTTATCAGTGGTACATAAGTAACCCACACACAGAAGAGAGGAGCTTATGATGATGTTTTGGTCCGACTTGGACTTTGTAAAAGTCGGACCGAAACATCGTCATAAGCTCTTCTCTATGTGCAGGTTATTTGTGTATTGTTCCAGTCATGGTATTGTGCCTTTTTTTGCTATTTATCAGTGGTATTGTACAGGATAAGCTGTCACCACAAACTATTGAACGATTAATATTATGTTCAATAAACACTTTCTCTTGTAAACCTTTGCTAATTTCTCTACAAGATATAGTTTCCTGTGTGCAAGCAACGAGACACGATAAACACACAAATCCTATTGAGGATACCAAACCTTCAATTCAGCATAAGAGTATACCTATTCCCACTAAATCACTGAATGGGAAATCGCTGTGAATGCAACTGACAGTAAAAAGACTGTCACATCTAAACGTACTCCAAAATGTGTACTTTGTGATGGATCGCATTGGGCACAGTACTGTATTCAATACATAACAATGGAGGCACGGAAACAGCATGCTCAACGGCTGAAATGGTGCACTAAGAAGTGTTTTAAATGCAAGGGTATGCATCACACTGCTTTATGCCCAAGTACTTGCGCTGACCAACAGGCGACTTCCACAAAAATCGCAAATCACTAAAAAGCAGCATCTAACGTAAAGGATAAGTCTAAATCGACTGCTCTTCCAATAGCTCAAACTGAGTAATAAGCTAATAAATTACACAAAACAAACATGCTAACACTATTTGATCAAGGCTCACAAAGGTCCTTCATAAGAAGAGCAGTGTTACAGAAATTGAATAAACAAAACCATGCCAAAATACAGTTAGATATAGCTGGTTTTTTTTTAAAGTTCTGGTAAACAGACATATGACCTACCTAAATTCACTGTTGGTCTAGGAAACAGGAAAAAGACAGTGGAAGCTGTGGTAGTAGATGATTTGCCTAAGTCTGTGCAGAACAGGGGACTAAAAGAAACAGTTGCAGCACTAAAGGCAGCCAAGGCCAAGTTAGCCTGTCCAGACATACAGACGGACACTTAGTTCAATTGATCTAATCATTAAAAGTGATTATCATCACTGTTTTGTGCAAAATATAACAAGTAAACATGATGTTCACTTGCTAAAAACAGATGGAGGCCACATGATATATGGTCCAAGTCCCTTTCAATGTGGGACAGATGATATTGATTCAGTGGAAAATGTACTGGTTACAAGAATAACTGCTGATCATGTGCCACAGCAAAAATTATCATTACTGGAAGAAATAAATGAACCAGTTAATAAGTTATGGAATTTAGATGCGATAGACATTGATGTAAATAAACCAAGCCCATACAAGTCTCAGACTTGTAACCAATAGTTGGACACTGTCAAAAATGAAGTGAGATTGGGTAGGTTCCATGAAATTAAACGAGGTTTCATAACAAGTAATACATATTTTATGAAAAAGAGGATAAATAAGTATACAAGATATGATGTAGCATGTAATGAAAGTAGTTTGTCAGATTATGTACTGGTGGATAAAAGGTTGATGGGTAGACTTCAGAATGTTCATGTTCATAGAAGGGCAACAGATATCGGATCATTATTTAGTTGTAGCTACAGTTAAGAGGTAGATGGAGTAAACGGAAAATGGCAATGGCAAGTAGAGAGGTGAAAGCTTATAAAGTAAGGAAAGAGGAAGTTAGCATGAGATATAAGCAACTATTGGGAGAAAGGTGGGCTAGTGAGAGAATAGGTAGTGTGGAGGTTGAAGAGGGGTGGGATAGTTTTAAAAATGCAGTGTTAGAATGTGGGGTAGAGGTTTGTGGTTAAAGGAAGGTGGATGCAGAAGGAAAAAGGAGGTATTGGTGGAATGACGATGTAAAGAGTGTGATAAAAGAGAAAAAGATTGCCACGAGAAGTTCTTATAAAGTAGAAGTGATATAAGAAGAGTGGAGTATATGCTGAGTAAAGAGGTAAAGCGAGTGGTGAGAGAGAGCAAATGACAGTGGGTAAGGCGCTGCCAACGAGAATAAGACAAATTTTTGAAGTTAGGTAAATAGATTAAGAAAACCTAGGAAACGAGTGGATTTGACAGATTAAATACAGAATAGGGGAGTTAGCAGATGGGGAGTTGGAAGTATTGGGAAGATGGCATGATTACTTCGAGGAAATGTTAAATGTTGATGAAGAGAGGCAGGCAGTAATTTCATGCATTGGGAAGAGCCAGATGCGAGTGTTGAGGAGGTGCTCGAGACATTAGGTAGACTGAAAGGGGGTGAAGCAGCTGGAACAGATAGGATCATGACAAATGTTAAAAGTGGAGAGGGGGGATAGTTCTGGAGTGGTTAGTACTTTCGTTCAATAAATGTATGAAAGATGGGGAAGGTACCCCAGGGATTGGCAGAGAGCATGAAGTTACTTTATACAAGGGCAAGGGGGACAAAGGTTGTAAAAATTATAGGGGAATAAGTTTACTAAGTGCTGTAAAGAATTTGTATGAGGATAGTGAGGCTCAAGTCAGGGTGCATAGGATTGAGGGAGATTACTTTCAAGTAAAAGTAGGTCTTAGACAGGGTTGTGTAATGTCACCATGGCTGTTAAACATATTTACAGATGGGGCTGTAAAAGAAGTAAAAGTAAAGGGTGTTGGGGAGAGGAGCGAGATTAAATTATGGGGAATCCAATACAAAATGGGAGCCGACAGTTATTTTTCGATGATGATGCTGTGCTTTTGGGAGATTCTAAAGAGAAGCTGCAAAGATTAGAGGATGAGTTTGGGAGGGTGTGTAAAGGAAGTTGAAGGTGAACACAGATAAGAGTAAAGTGATGAGGGTCTCAAACTAATTAGGTAAAGTTGGATATCACATTGGAGGGAGGTAGTTTGCAAGAAGTGAATGTGTTCAGATATTCAGGAGTAGACTTATCAGGGGATGGGTTTATGAAGCACAAGGTTAACCATAAAACTGATGAAGGAAAAAAGGCGAGTGGTTCACTGAGGTATCTGTAGACAAAACATTACCCATGGAAGCAAAGAAGAAAGTATGAGTATAGTAGTACCAACACCCTCACATGGGCATGAAGCATGGGTTGTAAATGCTGCAGCAAGGAGGAGGCTGGAGGCAGTAGAGATGTGTCAAAGGGCAATGCATTGTGTAAATATTATGCAAAGAATTTGTAGTGTGAAAATTAGGTGGTGGTGTGGAGTTACAAAAAGTATTATTCAGAGGGCTGAGGAAGGGTTATTAAGGTGGTTTGGTCATTTAGAGAGGATGGAGGAAAATACAATGACTTGGAGAGTGTATAAATCTGTAGTGGAGGGGAGGAGGGGGTAGAGATTGTCCTAAGAAAGAATGGCGGGAGGGGGATTGAAAGAGGTTTTCTGTGCAAGGGGCTTGGACATGAAGCAGGCATGTATGAGCGTGTTTGATAGGAGTGAATGGAGATGAATGGTTTTTGGGACCTGACGAGCTGTTGGAGTGTGAGCAAGGTGATATTTTGTGAAGGGATTCAGGGAAACCAGTTAGCCAGACTCAAGTCCTGGAGGTGGGAAGTACAATGCCTGCACTTTAAAGGAGGGGTTTGGGATATTTGCTGTTTGGAGTAACATCTAAAATGTCATATCTGAGTGCCTCTGCAAAGACAGTGATTGCGTGTGAATGATGGTGAAAGTTTCTTATTTTTTGGGGCCACCCTACCTCAGTGGGAGACGGCCGACGTGCTGGAAAAAAAACATTACTGGTACTTTCTAGGCATATTTTGACCTTCATTGTAACTTTGAATAATGATAAAGTATAAAACTTTTAGTCATGTTCAACAAGGTGCTAAATATAATATTGCAGAGTGAAGCACTGAAGTTAAAACAAGCAAATTTGATCATTTGAGTAAATAATCATAGATTGCAGGAGGGATGTGGTAACCAGCATGATTCTTATTCAGCATTAATATTTACATGTCCACATAGCTTTTAATCATATAATATTTTCCATACAAAGTTATCCATCGAGGCAGAGAGAGGAATGAGAATATAGTGGAACCAATGCCTTTAAATGGGTGTGAGGCATGGGTGTTGAATGTTGCAACAAGAAGGCTGGAGGCACTGATGTCGTGTCTGAGAACAATGTGTGGTGTGAATATTATGCAGAGAATCAGTACCTTAAAGATTAGAAGGAGGCACAGGGTTTCTAGAAGTATTATCCAGAAGTCTGGAGAGGGGTTGAGGTGGTTTGGACACAAAGTGGATGGAGCAAAACTGAAAGAATTGGAGGGCATATAAATCTAGTGGAAGAAAGGCACAGTAAGGGTCATCCTAGGAAAAGTTGGAAACAGTAAAGTTTTTTTTTGTGTGCGAGGGACTTAGCCTTCCAGCAACCATGCATGAGCATGTTAGATAGAAGCGAGTGAAGGAAAATGGTTTTTATGACTGTGCTGTTGGAGTGTGAGCAAATTAACATTTATGAAGGAATTCAGGAAAACTAGTTAGCCAGACTGTAGTCTTGACACCACAGCACAAGCAACCTTTCTAGCTGCAAAAGCCCCACCTCCTCCAAAATGCAAGCACAAATCTTCCCACCTCCAGGAGTCAAGTGTGGCTTACTGGTTTCCCTGAATCCCTTCACATATGTTATCCTACACTCCAGCAGCACTCCAATACTCCTATCTAACATGTTCACACAACGTTGTTGGATGTCTAAGCCCTTACACCATAAAGCCTCCAACCATTCCTTGTACAACCCCTACCCTCTTCTTTCCTCCACCAGATTTACATGCTATCCTAGTAATCCTATTTTTGTTTCATGCTCTCTAAATATCCAGGCCACCTCATCAATTCTTCCTCTGCCCTCCAAATATACTTTAGGTAACTCAACACCTTCCTCCAATTTTCAAGCTCCAAATTCTCTGTAGAGTATTCACACAACACACTGCCCTCAAACATATCTTCAGTGCCTCCATCTTCTTCCTTGCTACAACACTTAAACCATATTTCACACCCATATAACAGTTCTGGTACCATCGTACTCTATCTTGCTGAATTCCTTCTAAGATACAGTATATTTTAGCCCATATTTTATTTTTGAAAAGATGCCTGTCTTAACCCAAACTTCATAAATATTATACAGAAATAAACCGATTAACAAAGCAACAAGCAGCAATTAAAGTTATATTCATAGCCTCTTCAAACACAAAACACAATACTTAAAAAATTTTCCTATTATAAAAAATAAGCACAAATGACATGTGTCACTACTGTCCTCACCTCATCATCGCCAACAATAAGGTGGCTGCTGGTGTTGGTGTCTTCAGTTACTTCCCCCATTTCGAGCATATAGACTGATGTCCACAGCCGCATGTCTTGAGTGTGACACGAAGGGAAGAGTACCTATGGTTTTAAAAAGGTCTTCATTAGTAATTAGCAACAGCCTTGGTACATGAGAATGCAGTAGTAAGTAACGTTGACAATATCTCGACATATATCAAAAGCTTCTCCGTGGGGAAGTGGAACAGAATTCTTCCTCCGTAAGCTATGCGCATCGTAAGAGGCGACTAAAATGCCGGGAGCAAGGGGCTAGTAACCCCTTCTCCTGTATACAGTGGACCCCCGCTTTACGATCAGCTCCCAATGCGACCAATTATGTAAGTGTGTTTGCACAGTTTACAGAAAAACCCCAAAAGGCACAAAAGTCCCCCACACCTCCCCTCACCCTTACAAAAAGCAAGGGCACAAAAAAGGCCCCCCCAAGGGGCCCCTTGGAATTCATTCCCCGAACCAGTGACTGGTCTCTTGTCTGTCAATAAATTTTTAGGAGACGTTTATGAAGGACGAGGCTAATCATAAAATTAAATGGGAAAAAAAGTGAGTGGTGAAATTGGAAGGTATCTGTGGAAAACAAAAAAAAAAAAAAAACTTTTATCCTAGGGGGAAAAAAAGGGAATTGAAACGAGAGAATAGGGGGTACCAACACTCTTTTTAGGGTTTGTAAAAGCATGGTTTGTAAATCCTGCAGCGGGAGGCAGTAAAGATGCGGTGTCTAAGGACAAAGTGTGTGAAATTTTTGCGGGGAAATTCAAGTGGGGAAATTAAGTTTTGGATCTTTAAAAATTTTAATAACAAAAGGGCTAAAGAGATGGTTGCTGAGGGGGTTTGGTCTTTTTAAAAGACATGGTTTCGAAGTAAAATGATTTGGAGGGGGAAATAAATTTTGGTAGGGAAAAGAATTTGGGGTGGGGAGCCACCCTCGAAAAGGCTGGAGGGAGGAGGTAAAAGGGAAGGTTTTTGGGGGGGGGTTTTTGATTTCCAGCAAGCATCCCGTGAGCTTGTTAGAAAAGAAGTGAATGGGGGACTAAGGGTTTTTTTGGGCCCTAAACAGCTTTTGGGGAGTGGGGAGCAGGGTAAATATGTGAAGGGACTCGGGAAAACCCCGGGTTAGCCGGACTTGGGGCCCCTAGGGGTAAAAATTTTCAATCCCCTGCACTTTAACAATTTGACTTTTTTGGGTTTCGCATATATATTTCTTACGAGCCAGTTTTTCCCAGCCCAATAATACTCAATAATTCTAGCGGCTTCAAATCAAGCGGAGAAAGCTGGTGGGCCCCACATGTGAGACAATGGGTCTGTGTGGTCAGTGTGCCCCCAAAAAAAATCCGCAGCACGCGGGGAATGAAAAAAAAAAAAAGAACTTTTTTTTGGAATAAAACCCAATTTTGAGGTGTACTTTTGAATAGAAAATTTATCGTTGCATTTCTTTTTCTGGTGCACTGAAAAATGGAAAACAAAAAAAACAGAAATAAATGTTTTCCCTTTAAGTTTCAGATGAAAACGCCCTTTGAAAATTGAGCTCAAAGTAGGGGAAATTTTTGTTTTTTTAACAAATTTTCCCAGGGGGAAAAGCAAATCCCCACCCCCAATGCCAATACCGCCAACTGGGAAGTCTAATTTCTTTCACTAGTGCATGATATTTTTTATACCATTTTTCCCAATAATGCAGAAAGTCTGCAAAAAACATAAATTTTGAATTTTTCGTATAATTTAAAAAAAAAAAAATTAAAAAGAAATTAATATAAGAGGGCCTAAAAAACGTGACTAATGAAAAGAAGCCCATGTTATTTTAGTGCCAAGAATGTCTACAATTGTTTATTCGGGCCCCTTTTTTTAAAAAATTGGGGCCTCTTTTTTAATTTTGCTTTGTTGGGCCAAACTGCCAATTTTGATCATTTTTTTGGGGGTAGTTCAAAATCGGTAAAGGGGGGCGGTTTCTTGTACTAAAATGAAAAGAAAAAAGGGGGAGTTCTAAAAGAAAAAAAGCTATGATTTTGGGGCCCAAACGGGAAAAAGGGAAAATTTGGCCAAAAACGGGGCTCAAATTTTAATTATAATCAAAAAGAAGCGCAAAAAACCCAAGGGCAAAACAGCGTTTGAAAGGGTGGGGAAGGAAGCGAGGGTTTTTGGATGGAAAGGGAGGGGGGATGATCAGTAGGGTAGGTTACAGAAAAACGGGGGGGAAAGGGGATAGTACGGGGGAAAAGGGGTAGCAAGAGATTAAAAGTAGAAAGGGCGGGAAAGGTATCAGAATTTTGAAGTAAGTCGGTTTTTTGTCAAAAAGTCAATGGGAGAGGGCCCGGATGAAAGGTGGGTCCATCAGCAAAAAAGGGAAAAGGGGAGAGAGAGGAGCAGAGCGAAAAAAGGGCACACGGAGGTAAAATTTTTTGCGTGCTCGTTTTATAAAGTGGGCAGTCCAACAAATGTGGGTGACTGATAATGAACTTGGGGAATTCTCACAGAGGGGGCAGGGGGGCCTCTTTCCCTGGATAATCCATGAGTAAAACGAGTTTTGGCCAATGCGAAGACGGGGAGAGAGTAGTCTCCCAAAACCTTTGACACTGGTGGGAAAAAAGATGGCCAGGAACCTATAACTCGGTTTTAAAAGATTGAAGTTTTTTGCCGAGCATAGTTAAAAACCAAAAGTTGTTGCCCAAAGGGGGTGAAGTTTGGGGAAAAATTGCAGCAAAATAGTCCGTAAAGGGGAAAAACCCCTACATGAAACTGGGAGGTCATGTATGCTGAAAACCCCCGCACAGTTTTCTGCCCGTTCATTTTCCCTTTACGTCAACAAAGACCAGGGACCCAACAAAAAACAATATTTTTTATGCTTGGTAAAGATGCGGCGTAGCCCAAATTTTGGAAAACGGAAGGACTAAGGGTGGGTGTATCAAAATTTTTTTGTATAGCCCGTAAAGCACTTAAAGGGGGTCTGGGGACAACCCCAAATGATGACACAGGCCCTAAAAGCAATACGGGGAAGTGCTGTAAGGTGGCATACAATTCAGGGAGTAAAAAAAAAATAGCCGAAAAATAGTAAATGCCCTTGGTTTTTGCGTCCGGAAACACTGCCGGGGAATCCCACGCCGTCAGAAGAACTTAGAGCCACTGTGTTTCACAAAAATGGGGATGGAAAGGAGTGAAAGTGGTCAAAAAAAAGAGAGGGGGAAGCCACTGGGACAGTTTTGGGGGTTTCGAGCAAGGGGGGAAGAAAGAACAGCTCGAAACAGTGGAAAAATTTCCCCGGGGGGGGGGGGAAAAATAATGCTACATGTACATAGAAGGTTTGGGAATTTTGGGAAAAAAACCCAAAACGAAAAGAAGGGTGAAGAGAGAAGGGACGGGGGGTAAAACAGGGGGGGCGAAAAAAATAAAGAATGTTTTACTAATATCAGTGACCATTCTATAAATGGAAGGATTGCGGAGATCAGGAGAGCATACATAGTAGCGAAGGCAATGGGCATCACGGCTATCGGATAAGGATGGAACGTTCGCTTCTGCATAGAGGCTCTCGACAGGGGAAGAGCGAAAAGCACAAGGCATAAAACATAATCCTTGGTGATGAATGGGGTTAAGGCTAGAGAGAGTAGCAGGAGATGCCGCTGAATAGATCTGGTCACCATAATCAAGTTTCGATAAGATAAGGGTGGAAAGTAGGCGAAGGAGGGTTCGACGATCAGCTCCCCATGAAAGATGAGCAAGGGTTTTAAGAAGGTTCAGCCGGCTGTGACAAGTTGCCTTCAGGGAGGTAATGTGAGGTTTCCAGGATAACCTACGATCAAAGAGGAGGCCCAGAAACTTGACTGTATCACGTTCAGGGATACGGGAGCCATAGAGGTACAAAGGATGATCGGAGATGACAGAGGCGTCTAGTGAAAGTAATTTGGTGGGTTTTAGTGCTGGAAAATTTAAACCCACGTGTGGTGGCCAATTGGAAACACGGTTGACTGCATGCTGGAGAGGAAACAGTAATAAGGTGACAGTCAGCGCCTGCACAGGCAATAGCGAAGTCATCAACATAGAGTGATGACCAAATATTTGATGGAAGACTAGAGGCCAAATCATTAATAGCAAGGAGAGAAAAAGTTGTTGTGCTCAGAACACATCCCTGGGGGACACCTTCAGCTTGGATAAAGTCCGGGGAGAGCACATTATTAACCCGAACACGGAAATGCCTGTCAGTTAAAAAGTTCTTAAGGAAGGATGGTAGATTGCCTCGAAGGCCTAAGGAGTGGGCTTGGGCTAAAATATTATACCTCCAAGTTGTGTCATATGCCTTCTCAAGGTCAAAAAATATGGCAATAACTGAGTGGTTATTCACAAAGGCATTACGAACATACGTATCCAAGCGTAGTAAGGGGTCTATGGTAGAACGTCCGTTACGAAAGCCATATTGACGAGTGGAGAGACTGTTGTGTCTCTCTAAATACCACACTAAACGTCTATTTACTAGGCGTTCCATCACTTGGCAAACTGCACTGGTAAGAGCAATGGGACGATAGTGGGAGGTTTCATGTCCCGTAGTGCCTAGTTTGCGGAAAGGGAGAACAATGGCGGATTTCCACAACTGTGGAACAACTCCTTGTGACCAAATAAGATTGTAAAGGCATAATAGGACTGCAAGGGCTGACTGATGTAAATGTTGTAGCATACGTATATGAATGTTGTCGGGCCCAGCTGCCGATGATCGGAAAGCTGAGAGTGTTGCCTCCAGTTCTTGAAGTGTAAAAGGCACATTATACTATTCTTCTCTGAGAGAAAAGAAGTCCAAGGGTGCTAACTCTCTGGCAGACTTTGAGGAAAGAAATGAGGGACATAGATGGAGTCCCTGAGAAATACGGACCAGATGATTGCCAATTTCATTGGCAACATCTAGTGGGTTTGCTATATCAACACCGGCAACCCGCAGAACAGGAGCCGGGTCAGGAGAATATTTACCACTCAGTTTTCGTTTTTTTTTTCCAGACTGCACTCATAGAGGAAGCAGAGGTGATGGTGGAGACAATCTCGCCAGCAAGTGCGTTTAGCGTCACGGATGACACGGCGAGCGATCGCACGCTTCT